AGAATGAAAAGAAGAAGAATAATGAAAAGAAGAATGAAAATGAAGAAGAAGAAATGAATGAAGAAGAAGAATGAAGAATGAAGAAGAATGAAAAGAAGAAGGCATGAGAAATGAAAAAGAAGAAGAAGAAGAATGAAGAAGAAGAAGAAGAAGAATGAAAAGAAGAATGAGAAGAATGAAGAAGAAGAAGAAGAAGAATGAAAAGAAGAATGAAGAATGAAGAAGAAGAATGAAAAGAAGAAGAAGAAGAATGAATGAAAAGAAGAAGAAGATGAATGAAAAGAAGATGAGTAAGAAGAAAAGAAGAAGAAGAAGAAGAATGAAAAGAAGAATGAGAATGAAAATGAAGAAGAAGAATGAGAAGAGGGATGAAAAGAAGAAGTAAAAGGAAAAAGTATTCCAGTACAGCAAAAAGTGTATCTGCAGAGAGCTCCGCTATTTCTGACAGTTCTCTGACAGTTCCTTCACATTTACAGCGGTTGAAACATTGTATCTGTTATTCCGAAATATAAAAACATCTGTATCCTAAATGGAAAAAAATAGATACAATGTTTCAAAAAACCGCTGTAAATGTGAAGGAACTGTCAGACGAAACTGTCAGACAGAGAAATAGCGGAGCTCTCTGCAGGGACACTTTTTGCCTGGCTGATCGGGAAAAATCCGATTCGCGCACCCGAAGTGGCTAATATTCGGATTCGGCACGAATCGAATTTTTCCTGAAATTCGAAACGAATTCCACTTCGCCTGGTTCGATTCGCTCATGCGTCTAGCCACAGCTGTCACAAGAATCGAAAATTTAAGTGACAATACACACGCCGGGTGGCGGTAATATTTTTGGGTGATTAGTGCATTCCGCAGTGACATAAACGTACAGTTTCCAGCCAACGGCAAGCTGCAATTGATCCGATTGTGCTAAATAAACTGACTTTCTGCTTCACAACCACTATTGTACGTTCAAAGAGTTAGATCCATTTACACGCCGGGGTTGGCGGTAAAATTTTTTGGGTGATTAGTGCATTCCAGTGACATAAACGTACAGTTTCCAGCCAACGGCAAGCTGCAATTGACCGATTGTGCAAAATAAACTGACTTTCTGCTTCACAACCACTATTGTACGTTCAAAAGAGTTAAATCCCATTTACACGCCGGGTGGCGGTAATATTTTTTTGGGTGATTAGTGCATTCCAGTGACATAAACGTACAGTTTCCAGCCAACGGCAAGCTGCAATTGACCGATTGTGCTAAATAAACTGACTTTCTGCTTCACAACCACTATTGTACGTTCAAAGAGAGTTAAATCCATTTACACGCCGGGTGGCGGTAATATATTTTTGGGTGATTAGTGCATTCCAGTGACATAAACGTACAGTTTCCAGCCAACGGCAAGCTGCAATTGACCGATGTGTAAATAAACTGACTTTCTGCTTCACAACTATTGTACATATTGGTACAGTACGGTGGCAACTGGGAATCAATTTTGTACAATATGGGGTGACACATCCGGACACGTGGCATTCAGTACACAGGGGATGGCGGTAATATTTTTTGGGGTGATTAGTGCATTCCAGTGACCTAAAACGTACAGTTTCCAGCCAACGGCAAGCTGCAATTGACCGATTGTGCTAAATAAACTGACTTTCTGCTTCACAACCACTATTGTACGTTCAAAGAGTTAAATCCATATACACGCCTGGCGGTAATATTTTTTGGGTGATTAGTGCATTCCAGTGACATAAACGTACAGTTTCCAGCCAACGGCAAGCTGCAATTGACCGATTGTGTACAAAATAAACTGACTTTCTGCTTCACAACCACTATTGTACGTTTCAAAGAGTTAAATCCATTTACACGCCGGCTGGCGGTAATATTTTTTTTGGGTGATTAGTGCATTCCAGTGACCTAAACGTACAGTTTCCAGCCAACGGCAAGCTGCAATTGACCGATTGTGTACATAAACTGACTTTCTGCTTCACAACCACTATTGTACGTTCAAAGAGTTAAATCCATATACACGCCGGGTGGCGGTAATATTTTTTGGGTGATTAGTGCATTCCAGTGACATAAACGTACAGTTTACAGCCAACGGCAAGCTGCAATTGACCGAATTGTTGACCGATTGTGCTAAATAAACTGACTTTCTGCTTCACAACCACTATTGTACGTTCAAAGAGTTAAATCCAGGTTTTATTTTTGGGGTGCTTATTGAATTAAAGAGTATGTCAGACAACACGCAGAGGAGTGGCAGAGGAGGCAATGTTTCAGGAGCGAGCAGACGTGGCAGCAGAGGAAGGGGTCGAGGCAGCACTAGTCGCAGCCAGAGGCCAGTGCTCCCGGTGTCATCCAGCGGTCGTGTCTCCACCGACAACCCTGCCGTCATCGATTGGTTGACTCGGTCGTCTTCCTCTTCCCAGGTCACCTCTGACACCTACAGCCAACGGTCGGTGGGTACGTCAGACACAACCGTTTAGTTGGCATGGCCCGGGAGCAAGCCCACTGAAATCACGTGTCCTCGACCTGCCCCTGTCCTTTGGTGTTCCCTCACCAAGCGAAGTATCGCATGCTGTGGGCTCAGCCCCACTGTACAGTGAGGAAGAGCTAACAGAGGGCGGTCAGGAACGGGGGGAGACATCCGCCTCTTCAGCAGCCAGGCGAAGAAGTACTGGCGAGGAGAGTGGCTCGGTAGCCGGTCTAGAGACAGGTCTGTCTCCTGACCCACACGCAGCCGAGGGGGCTAGTAGTAGACGCGGAGACCCTAATTGATGATGATGAGGCTGATCGCACTTGGCAGCCTCGTCGTCATCAGGCTATTGCTTCCGCATCATCAGGAGAAAGAGGGTGCCAGCTTGCCAGCGAGCAAAACAGTCGGTGGGTTGCCCAGGAGGCAGCAGGCGCAGCAGTGTCAGTGGAGCCAAACGGCCACGGAGTAGAGCACCAGCTCCACTGCAGCCTACCACCACGGCCAGTAGTGGGTGCCGGTGTGCACGGAGGAAGTAGCAGTCAGCCAGTGAGGAGTAGCGGGGGCAAAGTTTCCTACTCGGCGGTGTGGCAATTTTTCGTCAAGCCGCCCGAGGAAGTAAACGTAGCCGTATGTCGACTATGTGGCCAGAAAGTCAAGCGTGGCCAGGGGGCCAATGTTGGGACTACAGCGTTGCGTCAGCATATGCAGCGTCGCCATTCGGTGGCCTGGGAAAACCGTGATAAAAGATACGGCGGTTCTGCCTGCCCCAGCCCCCGCTCTATCACCCCGCTCCGTTACTTGCTCCGTCACCCGACGTCAATCGCCCTCTATCAGCCAGTCAAGGCTCCAACACCTCTGCTGAGGGGAGTTGTCGCTCGTTGGCATCTTCCGCTCGTTTCGTTCAGATGCTCCTTCTCCTGCTACTCCTCTTCACGGATTCCGTCAGCAGTCTTTCTTGGAATCCGTTTCCAAGAGACAACAGTTTGCGAGCACGCACCCCGACGGTGCAGAAGCTGAACGTCCTCCTGTCCAAGTTGCTGGTGGTGCTGCAGTCCCTCCCTTTCCAAGTGGTGGACTCAGCACCTTTCCGAGAAATGATGGCTTGTGCCGAGCCGCGGTGGAGAGTGCCAAGCCGGCATTTCTTCGCCAAAAAGGCAGTGCCAGCCCTGCATTCACATGTAGAAGAGATGGTGGGCCAGTCTTTGAGCATGTCGGTCTCTGCCAAAGTGCACGGGCAGCGCCGACGTGTGGAGCTGTAACTACGGTCAGGGACAGTACATGTCATTTACGGCCCACTGGGTGAACGTGGTGCCGGCACAGCCGCACCAGCAACTTGGACAGGTCACACCGCTTTTGCCTCCACGTTTGCACGTCCTTGGTCCAGCAAAGACTGTCCGCCTCTACCAAAACCAGTCTCTACCACAAATTGGACCCAGACCTGCCAAGGGTCTCGTAACTAGATTGCACGGAGGAGTAGAGTCCCTGTTATCGGAATTAAATAGACAAAATGAACCAAAAAGAGTGGCCATTTCCAACACTTGCCAGAAAGAGGAACAAAAGAACATTTCATGCTCGGCCCGTAGACGTTTGCACGTCTGCCACATTCAGTCGATTTAAGACGCAAGCTCCACTTCCTGTGGTCTCTGACCACGTCGAACTATTGCCTGCTTTCAGCCAAGTGTCAGCTTTGAAGCTATATTCCCTCCGGAGCACTGACACTGGTGCCCTTCCAAACATGCCTTTAAGTTTCAGTTTTCAACCATATTCCCCACAGAAGCCAAACTCTTGGGTATCCCAGAAGCTGCTCAGCGGGTCAGGGCAATAATAAAGCTCCCGGTTCGCAGGTTGTTCTGTCTTATGGATGGAAGTACGACGGTATATGATCTTCTTCGCACCCACGGCATCACCTCATAAAATTTCTGCATTGCATCTGCAATCACAACGCTGACTTCCCGGATCGCCAGCACACTCAGCCATTGGACTCTTGATAGTCGTCTCCCCACACTGCTGCTGGGGGGGACTTTTTAACCTAGGCCTGTGTATGGCCTTCAATTGAAGCTGCTGCTTCCGCTCCGCCACTCTGCCATTGGACTCTTGATAGTCGTCTCCCCACGCTGCTGCTGGGGGGACTTTTTAACATAGGCCTCTGTATGGCCTTTAATTGAAGCTGCTTACGCTCCGCCACTCTGCCATGGGCCTCTTGGGTATCCCAGAAGCTGCTCAGCGGGTCAGGGCAATAAAGCTCCCGGTTCGCAGGTTGTTCCGTCTTATGGATGGAAGTACGACGGTATATGATCTTCTTCGCACCCACGGCATCACCTCATAGAATTTTCTGCATTGCATCTGCAATCACAACGCTGACTTCCCGGATCGCCACTCAGCCATTGGACTCTTGATAGTCGTCTCCCCACACTGCTGCTGGGGGGACTTTTTAACCTAGGCCTGTGTATGGCCTTCAATTGAAGCTGCTTCCGCTCCGCCACTCTGCCATTGGACTCTTGATAGTCGTCTCCCCACGCTGCTGCTGGGGGGACTTTTTAACCTAGGCCTGTGTATGGCCTTCAATTGAAGCTGCTTCTGCTCCGCCACTCTGCCATTGGACTCTTGATAGTCGTCTCCCCCCACACTGCTGCTGGGGGGACTTTTTAACATAGGCCTCTGTATGGCCTTCAATTTAAGCTGCTTACGCTTCGCCACTCTGCCATGGGCCCCTGTACCGCCTCCTCTTGCTGCTGCTGCCAGGTCCAGAGTGTGTCATGGGTCCCTGTACGGCCTCCCATTGCTGCTGACTTCATCGCCAGACTCTGCCATGTGCCACTTTCAGGTCTCCTTACACTGTTGGTGGGTTCCATTTTGTGATAGGGTGCTGTATGGCCTTCCATTGCTGCTGCCTCCACCGCCACCCTGCGCCATGTGCCTCTGTCGTCTGCTCACGCTGCTGACGGCTTCCGCTTTTTAAACCGAGGCCTGTGTTTGGCTTCCGAATACTGCTGCTCCCACCGCCACCCTGCGCCATGTGTCCATGTGTCTCTGTCGTCTGCTCACGCTGCTGACGGCTTCCGCTTTTTAACCTAGGCCTGTGTATGGCTTCAGAATAATAATGCTGCCTACACCGCCACCCTGCGCCATGTGCCTCTGTCGTCTGCTCACGCTGCTGCCAGGTCCATACTGATTCATGGCCCCCTGTACCGGCTCCTCATGAACGTGGTTCAGCGGGTTTGCATCACTTAACGGCAAATCGTTGACAAACGCTGGGACGTTCAGTGTTGTGCGCATTAAGCCAGACACCAAAGGGCAGCACAGACCTGTTATTACTCGCTCTCAAGCATGGCTGAACAAAACCAGTCTCTACCACAAATTGGACCCAGACCTGCCCAGGGTCTCGTAAGTAGATTGCACGGAGGAGTAGAGTTCGTTATTGGAATTAACTGTGAGGGACTTTTAAACCTAGGCCTGTGTATGGCCTTCAATTGAAGCTGCTTCTGCTCCGCCGCCACTCTGCCATTGGACTCTTGATAGTCGACGACTATAGTCGTCTCCCCACGCTGCTGCTGGGGGGGACTTTTTAACATAGGCCTCTGTATGGCCTTCAATTTTAGCAGCTTACGCTCCGCCACTCTCTGCCATGGGCCCCTGTACCGCTGCTCCTCATCCTCATGCTGCTGCCAGGCCCCGTAATCTGTCATGGGCCCCTGTACCGCCTCCTCATGCTGCTGCCAGGTCCAGAGTGTGTCATGGGTCCCTGTACGACCTCCCATTGCTGCTGTCTCCATCGCCACACTCTGCCATGTGCCACTTTCAGGTCTCCTCACACTGCTGGTGGGTTCCATTTTGTCATAGGGTGCTGTATGGCCTCCCATTGCTGCTGCCAGGCCCGTAATCTGCCACGGGGCCCCCGTACTGACTCCTCATGCTGCTGCCAGGCCCGTAATCTGTCATGGGCCCCTGTACCGCCTCCTCATGCTGCTGCCAGGTCCAGAGTGTGTCATGGGTCCCTGTACGGCCTCCCATTGCTGCTGTCTCCATCGCCACACTCTGCCATGTTCCACTTTCAGGTCTCCTCACACTGCTGGTGGGTTCCATTTTGTCATAGGGTGCTGTATGGCCTCCCATTGCTGCTGCCTCCACCGCCACACTGTGGCTCCACACTCTGGTTTTGGCCCCCGTGACTGCCCAAATGAGTGAAGTGTGCGGTGATTCTAAGATCGACGGCACTCATCTGCATGTCATACTGACTGACAGTATTATTTCTCTTCCCCAGCAGACTCCAAGGGCATTTAAATTAAAGGTACAGTGTTCTGCACTAATATAAAGGCTCTCTGAAGCCTAGAAACACCCTTTTTATAAGTTAAATTCGCAGCGAATATATTCGACTCGAATCGAATTTATTCCGCGAATTCGGCGAATCAGCCAAATCGAATTTTTGAATACTTCGCTCATCTCTATATCTTTGCATTGTCTAAGACTTTGGAATGTTGCTTGCCAAAATGTAGTGATGCCACGCTATTTGTTTATTCTTTGTTTTCAAAGACATCAGTCCTGTTCAACTAAATCCTAGAAGGCATCCAGCACTGCCTTTCTCACTTAAACTGGGTAAAAGTACTTGTTGCCCTGTCTGAGTGCACTAATCTGAGATCCATGGGCATCTAAAGACCCATACTGTAGTTGTTCTAGCATAAGCCTAGTGTGCATATCTTAAAAAAAAACATTTCTTCAATATTTCCCTATTCATTTGATAGAATCCCTTGAGTCTGCTGATGTTTAAGAATCAAAATGTTTCCTAAGCAGTATGTTAGGAACAAATCTATTGACATCTGAACAAGTAGAAAAATATGTCAAAAAGAAAAGTAGGAGAAAATGAAAGTCATTTAGATAATACTGATACTGTATTTAACTGTATTTACTGTACTGTATCGGCAGTCAAATTCGTGGCTGAAAAAAAATTATAACATTGGTGTAATCTGTTATTTCTGTGTCAATTTCCATTGATAATGTCAATTTGCTTTTGGATCTTCCTCTTCTGTCACCCATCCTACAGCTGTTCTTTGTTTCCTTTTGTAGTTTGTAATAACTTAATCATGGATCATTTTTTGATCCCTCCATATGTGGACGATCTCATGAAAATATTGAGGAAACTGAGCTCTTCAACATCCCCAGTGCTTTTGAATCCCCTTTGTCAGAGGCTTCTGATTGTGTATCCAAGACTTCAGGAGAACTAAAGTTCACTCTTCTTTTTGATCTCTTTAATATAGATTGTGGTGTTTTTTTTTTAAAACATTGTTTTACTTCTCCATCATCCATAAACAGTATGATCAAGATTTGTAAATTTTTCATAAATATTTTGAACTTTTGACTTCCATAATGCGTGCTTCTGTTTGTTCCATCTCCATTTCTAGTTTGGTATCTAAATCATGATATGTCGATAAATGTTTATGGATTGGGGCTGCATAAGGAGATCAGATTACTCATTGTGTGAGCAGCCTTTATTAATGTGTGGACTGGAGATTTGATCAAAAACCATTACCTCAGGTGCAAAAAAAATTTGTTTTTTGGATGCAATGTTGGGCATTTGGCTGGACAATTCCTGCATAAGATCCCAAAAGTTCAGATTGAATCCAAACATCTAAATGAAAAAAATTTGGTCCAAACCCTGAGCTCATCCTTGGTTAAAATGTGAAAAGCGGGGGCTGCCCTTACTTTATACATTTAAACTTTTGTTAGTTGAAAAATCACTTAGAATTTAGGTTTTTACACACCCTAAATAAGTCTTAAGTTTCATTCATATATGTCCTACATAGGGGTTCAATAGTTTTTTCAGTCCAAAACATCAAAGTTAATAGTTGTATAGTAATGCAAACATACATTTTTCTTAATTGAATGAGATTCATTCAATTGTTTATAACTGTAGAACATTTCAAGTTGTCATTTGGAATAGGTCATGTGAACAGAAGCAGAAAGTTTGTTTCAGGCAACATCCAAGTTGGATCAGCACATTGAAGTGTGTTCTTAAAACTCATAAAGGTAGCAGCAGAGGTCCTCAATGTTTTTCCATCCTATCTATATCTTCCTCACTAGAAGAAGACCCAGATAGGATCATAATATATTGTTGCTGCTGCCTATTAATTTATCAGTGGATTTTTATCCATTAATTTAACAGTACCAATGTTTAAATTAGTTGAATATAAATATAAATTTTAGCAATCATGGGATGTATTTATTAAACTTGGATGCCGTTTCTAGAAGTTGAAGCACATTGACTGTGCACTTCATATTAAAGTAGGGCAACATAACTAAGAGCAATAGATGACCTGACTTTTTTAAATGGTATACATAAGTTTCAACATTTGCACGGGGAAAAAAACAGGTTCTTAATGTGTAATTCATTTGGTCTCTAGTTATAACTTCACCTGGCTACTACTTACTAAATATTTATTAAAAAGTGTTCATTCTGACATTTTTTTTGGTTTGTATAACCAGGGAGATTTCTTAAACTCCTGAGCATCCTCTTAATGGTACAGCTTAAACCTGGACTTTCAGCTTTAACTTACTGACAGAGCATTTTATTAAGAAGTAAAAGAAGGTGCAGCTGTGTTTACAACTAAATATGCTCTAATAAATCTAATTATTTTTGCTTAGTTGAAGAGACTAGAGTGTGTTAATAAAGGTTACACTAAGTTGTTATTCTAAATAATTATTTTCAGTATTTTTCCATGTGGTGAACACAGTTTTATGTTACACCTTTTTTGGCTGCAGGAATATAAGATAGATATATTGCCACCTAGGAGAATACAGTCTAGTATATTTTTTATTTTTTTTTGTCATTTTTACAATATCACTCTAGCCCCAGTTATACATTGTTTGAGATTATTAATGGTCTTTCATATGTCTTTTTACACTTAGTGTTAAGTGCTAATTAATAAGCTTCTCTTTTCAGAGACTACCTGCATACATTATTCTGAATTCGTTGGCTAATAAAGACCTTTGGGAGCTAGCATAAATGATCCACACCAACAAAATTAAAAACATTTATGGTGTTGTACATAACAGAATACAGACACAAAAAAAATGGCAAAATAATAGCTATAGGTGAATAGCAAACAAAAACTGAAAACTGCACGCATCCCAGGCCCCCTAGCTTTCAATACAGGGTAAACATATATTTTTTCAATATTGAAAATAATCTAAAAATGTAGCTGAGGTGTACAGATTTCTTTGCTCTTATCAATTACAGTACTTGAATATTCATGATTTCCTTCACAGATAAGAAACCATAATTAGAAGCACAACTAAAACCCATATGAGAAAACTCTAGTTATAGTTAAATCTTGAACACATGCAGCTTGATTCAGTAACACAATGCATAGGTCCTCCAGGTGGGTTAATCTATTGTGCAGTGGTGTAATTTGCAATATGCTCACAAAACTGCCACTGGTGACACATAAGCTATTTAATAAATCTCTGCAAGTATGCCTTGGCTGCTATAGTACCTGAAACTCATTAGGAAATATCTTGCATAACAAATGTGTATTGATCACTTACATTTGCTGTGAAATAATGAATCTCTTACATGCCTTATTTAGCGTTTTCAAAATGACTTCCTTTGAAATACATTTTGACACCTTTCCTCTTTGGCAGAATAAAGACCACATTTGCTTCACAGTTTATCATACATGGTTCACCACTACATAGGTGGTGGATCTTCATATACCTTATGCACAATCCAAACCAATATCTTAAATAAGTGTTACTATGTTGGGTAGCTATGTTGCATTAGTGCCGATCATGTGAAATTTGGTGAATGCTTGTGAGCACAGATTTGTGCATTATCACCATTGTGCAGTTTTGGTGCAATCATGATAGCTTAAGTAATTTAACCCCATTGTACCTAATTAGGGCAAACCATAAATGTTGGCAGAATAAAGACCACATGATTGGTTCACAGTTATAACGTTGTTCACCAATACGTCCATAACGTTGTTCACCAATACACAGGTGGTTGATCTTTACATGCCTTGTACATACTCCAAACCAATTTCTTAAATAAGAGCTACTATATTGGGTAGCTATTTTGGATTAGTGATGATCATGTGAAATTCAATAAATGCTTGTGAACACAAATTTATGCATTATCAGCATTGTGCAGTTTTGGTGTAATCATGACAGCTTAAATAATTTAGCCCCACTGTACCTAGTTAGGACAAACTATACATTTTGGATTATTTTCAAATTGAACAGGACCAGTAGAAAGTTAGTGTGATAACTTTTTCTTTGAACCCTTGTCTTTCCTATCTTTTGGTGGTTCGTGTTTCAATTGCCTGAAGGCATTTTCAATTCCATATCAGCAGAGTCAACTAATCTCAAAACAGTAATAAATAGAATCCTTGCCAAATGCAATGTATCAACAAAGATTGATTTGGCTGAGAGTGAGGTAAATAAGCAACTAGATAAAAAAAAAAAAACAATGCCATGTAAACCTTTCATTGATAGACAGAGTGTATCCGTTTTTTCTATATTGTATTTATTTATTATGTTCATTAGAAAAGAATGCATTTTTTTTCTTGTTTTGATAAATCAACAATTAAATATTGCTATTTTTTAGTTGCATCAGCACCTTTTCACATGTTTTTTTTTTATCCCTGTGTTTATTTTTG